GAGAGAGAGAGAGAGAGGGAGAGAATGTATATGTATATATATATATACACCCGGTAGTGGGATTACTGAGTCTTAGAGAAGTGCTATTTTTAATTTTTGGGGGGAATTTCCATGCTATTTTTCATAGTTACTGCACCATCTACACTGGCACCAACAATACACAAGAGTTTCAGATTCACCATGTTGTGACCAATATTTTCTATCTTTCATTTAAACTTTCTTATCTTACACTTTTACTTGTATTTAGTCTAACTTGAACTCAGCATTGAGAAGAATGTGGTGTACCTGCCTTCAACTCAGGGAAACTTGGAAGCTGAGGATCCCAAAGGGCTGTGATGATAAAAACTTTTGCAGACACTTTTCTATATTTAAAATGCAAAGCAGAAGTTTCCAGGCCACACGTTACATCTTGCAGGATATATTTGCCACAACAAAGTGTATATATTGTTGTCAACACTGCTTACAGCAGAAAAACTTCACTTTCTGTTTAAGGCAGAATCTTGCATAAACCTCATCATCCAAGAACCTGGTTTCAAAGATGAGTAAGTATTTCACAGTAAATAATTCCTGATGAGTAAGTATATCACAGTCTGCTTTTGCACTTTAAATTTTTACTATATCCACCCAGTTAAGAACAATTACTGGATTTTATAATTTTTCTATGCCTCTAAATTGATTTTAGACTTCTAATTATATACTTTAGTTAATATGCTTGCCAATATTGTGGAGTTTTTCATGTAACTAATCCCTGAGACTTCTGGACATTTTCCCGCAGAGTTTCATGTACAACAGAGAAAAGCCAAAGTCTTTTTACCGTCTTACAAGTTTCCAGACCTACATGTGGGGAGGCACTGTTTGTATTGGGCATTTAAATTTCCCTAATATTTTCTCATTCTTTTTGGATTTTGTCTGTTCTATCTTTTTGCTCAAAGTATAGAAAATGCAGAAAACAGCCTTAAAAATTTATACGGTAAAGTCAAGTTCAATTTGAAAAGAAAACATAAAATTGGAAAGATGTGAACATAAACATAAACTTTTTTGCCATTTATATTTGCATTTGGGTTAATTGCATAGAGCAATATGTCTTTTCACGCACATGATTAATTAGCTTCGTCTTTTCCAAATAAAGAATAAAGACTCCTGTCAGAGCAGCTCCAGTGTGCAAGTTATACTGGAGGCTCCGGAGTAAGATAGTCTTGAGTTTACATTCTTCCCCCCCCCAGCTTTAATTGAGTTTATTGGTACATTTTAGGGATACAGTACAGTTACATTCATTGTTGGGATCTTGTACCTCTACATGACAAGTCTTGGTTCTCATTTCTTCCCCTTGTCCCTGCCCTCCCTTCATTTTTACTTTCTAGGTGTATAACCTCAGGAAATCAAGCTTTCACATCTGCAAAATGACAATAAATGCTGAGGATCATAAGTTTGAGGCCAGTTGGATCAACTTAGAAATTTTAGGAAGAAATTATTTCAAAAAGCAAAAGTAAGAGGACTTGGTGAACATAGCTAAGAGTGAAGGCCCTAGAGTCAATCCTGAAAAAAAAATCTGTAATATTTGCAAAAAACAACGCAGAACTGGCACAAAATTATCTGTTCATTAGTCAACTTGTTAGTATTCCAGATACTAAGCTAAAAGCAATAAATAAAGAGGTGATAAACTAAGATGAAGAAAAGGAAAGAAAAATAATAAAAAAGAGAGGGAGATAAAAAGGGAGGATAAGAAAGGAGAGATATAAGGAAAGAAAAATAGAAACTGAGAAAATAAGGAAGGATTTGGAGAAAAAGATTCAACTTGCTGTCATATAATATATATTTCCACAAGTGACATTTAAATTGTATATATTAACAATTTGAATATAAATGAATTTAGAATTTATATTATATGACATGGACAGTCAGAATTATGAGAGCTTTCACATATATATCATTTAAGGCAGCATTTAAATGAAGATTTTAACACTAAAAGTAAAGGGTAAGTCATTGTATGGCAATAAGCAGCATTGGCCAGGCTAAGAAAAACATGTTTTTTTAGGAAGGCAAGAAAATCCAGAACATAATGTGTATTAAGCATTTGGGATCACTTTTGGAACACTAACGTCCTAGCTCAAGTAATTTCATGGAAAGTTTTTCCCATATATTTACATTTTGATTGAATTCAGTTTTCTCATACATATCTACTCAGAAGTAGATTTGTGTCAAAGAAATATATGGTCAGACATGAAATATATCATTGGATAATTGCCTTGGATTCTGGCTAATAAAATAGAGAGTTTTCTAAACTATTTTACAACTATGCTGTGAATACAAGATTTTCCTAATTCCTGCAGAAGAGGTAGGTCCAAGGTTTAGAAACCAGTTCTGGAGAACATTTACTAGTGACATTTTTCTGGAGGATATTCATATTTGATAACTGCTTGTATTGTAGTTCTGATGGGTAAACTTCTGGACCTGTCTTTCTACCCTAGATTCTTGCCTTAATTGCTGGGCACACATTTAGATAGAAGAAAAACTTATTTTAACTTTTTATTTTAGTACATTATTAGGATTTTACTTTTGTACACAGATTGTATTTATTGCTCACTGGGACCTGAACATTAAGCTTGTGTGACTGTTCTTGAATCTTTTAGCTCATCTCTTCCTCGTTGGATCCCATTAGAACATCAAGTGCTAAATGGAAGAAACAAACCAGTCTGTGGTGTCTCAGTTTATTTTTCAGGGTCTTTGTAATGCAAAGGAGCTCCAGGTCTTCCTCTCACTGCCATTTTTCTTACTGTACCTGATGACTGTTGTGGGCAACCTCTTTGTCGTGCTCCTAATCATCACTGACCGCCATCTCCACTCCCCCATGTACTTCCTATTAGCAAACCTCTCATTTATTGACTGCTGTCTTTCTTCAGTAACTACCCCAAAACTAATCACAGACTTCAAAAAGGATAATAAGACCATTTCCTTTGGGGGATGCATGAGCCAGATCCTCTGTGTGCATTTCTTTGGTGGTGGTGAAATGGTGCTTCTTGTGACAATGGCCTATGACCGTTATGTGGCCATCTGCAAGCCACTCCATTACTCCAGCATCATGGACAGACAAAAGTGCATCTGGCTAGTCTTGATATCATGGATCGTTGGCTTTGTGCATGCCATGAGTCAGCTGCTTCTCATTCTGGAGCTGCCTTTCTGTGGTCCCAGAGTAGTGGACAGCTTTTTCTGTGATATTCCTTTAGTGCTGAAATTAGCCTGCATGGATACTGAGACTTTGGAGTCCATTATAAATGCAGATAGTGGTGTTTTGGCAACAACTTGTTTCATTCTCCTGCTGATCTCCTACACTTACATTCTATTAACTGTTTGCCTTCACGCTAAAGAGGGTGCACCCAAAGCACTGTCTACCTGTACCTCCCACATCACAGTAGTGGTGCTGTTCTTTGGACCTTGCATTTTCATATATCTGTGGCCCATCAATATCACATGGGTAGACAAATTTCTTGCTGTATTTTACACAGTCATCACACCTGTTCTGAATCCAGCTATTTATACACTAAGAAATAAAGATATTAGGAATGCCATAAAAAAACGAATGTCATCGTGTGGATTCAAGGAATAATTATTACCTATTTCATGTAATAAAAAAACTCTGTGTATGTCCCCTGTTGGCACATTTTGACCTCCAAATTCTGACTCATCACATCTGTAATCTATAAGTAGTCACAGATGTATGGTCTATGTTTTTCTATTATATATTCATAAATTTAATGTCTAGATAAAGACTGGTAGATAAAGACTGCATGAATGCTCTTTTGTATGTGTTAGAAGATTATAAGATAATAGCCATGATACCTACAGAAATAATCATTGCCACAATTTATTAAACACTACCTATGTTCCCAACACTGCACATGACATTTTAATTAGTATACTACTTATAAAATCATTTTAGAATAGGTTTTATTCCATTTCTAAAGTAACAGCATGGTGTATACTTCCAAATTCTGAGCCAGCTAAAGAGGAGAACAAAAGTGCATTCACATAGAAAATAAAATAATAAATGAATCGAATGCTAATACTATTTTTCTGGTCCTCCATGACATAACAGCTTCAAGTATTCAAGTTTTATTGTTCTTATAAATGTGAAGTTGTCCATGAATTTTTCCTTGAAATAAACACAGAAAAGTGTTTGCAATTCTTTAAAAGAAAGTGTAGATGGGGAGGGGAGGAGGGGGTGATGGGAGGGCAGAGGTATGGGGAAAAAATGAGAATCAAGACTTGTCATGTAGAGGTACAAGATCCCAACAATGAATGTAACTGTACTGTATCCCTAAAATGTACCAATAAACTCAATTAAAGCTGAAATAAATAAATAAATAAATTTTATTTATCTTATTAGTTAATAGTTTTTTATGATTGCAGTAGTAATTTTCTTGAAGAAATAAAATAAATCAATTATGAGTATGAGAATGAAAAAGCACACGTTACATTGTTTCAAAGCAAAAGAAATTTCAACTGTTTGGAGATGGAGAAGGGGATCAAGTATAAAAGATTTGGGTGGTAAAAGAATTAAAATGATCAAGATATATTATATTCATATATCAATTCCCCCATAGAAGATCACTACTACATATTGCAGCCATACATTAATAAAAAGAAAAAAAGAAATTTAGACTCATGACAAGAAAGCCAGAGAGAAACCAGTACAAATAATACAATTGCCAAGTACTTCTCTGAAAAATTTAGAAAGCTCTGTAGTTCTATGTACTAACAAAATTTTTGCCAAAGAAACATTTACCTGAAAACATACACACACACACACACACACACACACAAATACCAAAAAAAACACACTTTTAACATGCATATACATATATGAAGAAAAATAGAGAGAGAAGGAAATGTATATATTTTGTTATATATTTTGTTATATTTTATTTTTAGAATTGTTAAAATGGACAAATCCAGTTGTTTCAACATCACATGATTTCTTCAAACATAATAGCTTTTCCGCAGGGGTATGGGGAAAAAATCCAAAACAAGGCTTGTCATGTGAAGGTACAAGATCCTAATGATGAATGTAACTGTTCTGTATACCTAAAATGTACCAATAAACTCAATGAAAAAAGGATATATAATAGCTTGTATAATACTGCATATTCTATATCCTTTGATGATGTATGTCATTTTCTGCATAAAATTATGTGTACACATCTTTACTGTACTCTGATTTATTTCCCCATATAGAGGGAAGTCATAATTTTTTAAATTTCATTCTATTACTAGTACCTCAAAAGTTAATCATGACAATCAATTTTGTATCCATATGCCAATATATATTAAAGGCCTTATGATGACAGGGGAACTCATTTAACAAATATATTAAGTATATATTCTTTAAACAGAATTTATAAAAACATTTCTTATGTCTATCAAAAACCCTATATGGGGATGTAAGGTGACTTCTAACATTTTTTTACATGAAATGATCTCAATAGTATCCATTGGTATAAATCGTTATAGTTAGTAGTCACCCTTACTTTATAATTGATTTAGAGCCTTCATGTAATTTCCCGCGTTTAGCTCTGTGTAAACATAATACAACATTAGGACATCTGAACTGAGCTTTTGCTAATCTCCAAGGAATGATCAAAAGATGCAGTATATGTTTAAATTAAAAAATTATTATAGTAAAAGACACATTTCCATTAATTCCACTAATCACTCCCCCTCACTTCACTTGCACTTATTCCACCCTTCGTGTCACTCTTTGAAGCTGTTCTGCAAGTCCTCTTGGTGACTGTCTTTATAAGGTTTGATCAGAAATAGACTGGACCCTGCTGCTGAGTGCATCTCAACAAAAAGCCAGCACTGTAAAAACGTGCTGTGTCCTCATCCACTGTTCCACCAGATGTGGCGTCTGACAACTTCTCTCTCTTCACCAAGGTAAAATTCACCGTTAAAGGTAAACATTTCAATCAATTAGGACGTCGAGACAACCGTGACAGTACAACTGAAGACACTCACGTGAGAGAACATTCACAAACGCTTCAGAAAAGGGCAAGAATGGTGGGATAAGCGTGTTGGCAGTGAGAAGTGTTGTAAGAAGACTTGATGGCAATGTCTTTTACTGCAATCAACCTGTTCCAGTGTAAGAATGCACCATATTTTTACCACACCTCATATACAACTAGTTCTTACAGTTTAGAAAAAGAGAAATTACTGCCTGTTGTGGCTTGTATCTAAATGTTCCTCAAAGCCTCATGTGATTACAGGTGAGGCTTTTTGAAGGTGGCAAGATCTAGAATGTATGATGCTGGGATTAAACATGGGATGCTGGGATTGGTTCACAGTGAAATGTTAGGATTAAGGGTACCCCACCCTGAGTGTGAGTGCAACCCATCGTAAAGCCTGGCTAGAACATAAGGGACAGAAAGACAGTTGCTTATTGCTTGTTGCTTACAGCTTGTAGTTTGCTACTGTAGCTCGATACTTGTTGCGCCTGCCGCCTTCTGTCTGCCAGGAACTGTTTCTCCTCTGTGATTCTTCTCTGCCATAGCATTCTGCCTTGGTGTCAGCCAACTGAAAACTGAAACCTTCACAAACTATGGTCTACAATAAACCTTTCCTCCTTTAACTTTGATCGTTTGGTATTTTTGTCTCAGCGATGAGAAAAGTAACCAAGACATTGCCCAACAGTTTCCTGAGCACATGTATTTCATTTACTCAACAATTCAGTAGAATTCATTTCTAAGTAATTTGAGTTTGTAAAAACACACAATGGAACCTTAAAACATTGTGGATTGATAGTAATAAAGATACAAGAATTAAATGAAAAATGGAATGTACTTACAGTCATCGTAGGGACATTACTGCATGTATTTCTTTTTCATCTTTATTTTTTGTTAGTGCATTTGTCATACATAATGATCACATTCATCATGGAGAATTTGTACACTCACATAACATATCTTAGTTCTTTATTCCCATTCCTGACACCCTCCCTTTAACCCTTCTCCACTCCATTTACAAAAATTATATTTCCATTTTTCCTTGCCTTCTCTTTTTAATCTATTTTCCCTTCCATCCCTTCTCCATCCCACCTCTCTTGCTCCCTTTCTGATCTGAACAAGTTCCTCCTGCTTCCTAATACCTATCCTCCATTTTGCTTCTTATTTATACTTTAGGTTTCTCACCCAAGAGAAACAATGTGATATTGAAACTTGTGTTTCTTATTTATTTCGCTTAAGATTATGGTCTTGACATGCATCCATTTACCTCAAAATATCTTGTTTATCCTTCTTTATGGCAGAGTAGTATTTCATTATACATAAATGCCATGTTTTCTTTATCTATTCATCTGTTAATGAGAATATGAGCTATTTCCATGAGTTAGCTATTATAAATCATGCTCCTATAAACATGGGTGTACGAATATCACTATGGGACAGTGATTTTTACCCTTTTGAGAAGATATCTAGAAGGGGAATAGCTGAGTCAAATGGAACCTCTAGTTTTAATTTCTTGAGAAATCTCCATGCTGATTTCCATAGTGGTTGTCCCAATTTACACTCCCACCAAGGGAGAAGGGTTCCTTTTCCTCCCACAGCCTAACCAGCATTTATTATGGGTTGATTTTTTTAATTGTCCCCATGAAGTTTATTGGTACATTTAAAGCAAACAATAGTTACATTTATCATTGGGATCTTACACCTTTACATGTTATGTCTTCGTTCCTGTTTTTCCCCATCCCCCTGTCCTCCCTTCATCCCCTTCACCCTTCCCTATTTAAAAAGACTTTTCCATTTTTTCCTTTTTTCACAGTTTTTCTTTTCCCTTATTTCCTTTCCCCTCCCCTTCCCACTTCCCCTTTAGCCCTTTTCTTCCTATTTCCCACTCTCAATTATACCATTTGAACCTTATTTACACTTTTTGTTTTTCACACCAGAGAAACTATTCAGTATTTACTCGTGTGTCCTATTTATTTCAGTTCAGAGTAAGGCCTCAATGTGCATCCACTTAGCTATAAATGTTTCGAGTTTTCTCATTCTTTATGGCTGGGTTGATTTCTGATGATAAGACATTTTTCTGGAGATGGAGTCTCAGTGTTATTTTAATTTGCATTTGTCAAATGATCAGTGATGTTTAACATTTTCCATCCATTTATTTCTGTTTATACTTCTTCATTTGAGAAGATTCTATTCATTTCAGATGTCCATTTTTTGAATTGGGTCTATAAATTTCAGTCAATCCATGTTTTTGAATTCTTCACATATTTCAGATATGACTCCTTTGTTTGAGAAGCAACTGGAAAAATATTTTCCCACTCTGTAAGTTGCCTCCTCACTCTGTGGTCCCTTTTGCTATGCAAGAGCATTTTAATTTTACATGATCCTTTTTGTTGATTCTTTTGTTGATTCAATACAACTGGGATTTACTTCAGAAGGTTTTTGCTTATGCCTATAACTTAAAGAGTTTTATTGTCTTAGCTACTTTTCACTTTGTTGAGACAAAATACGTGACACCAAAATTCAAAGGAGGAAAGGTTTATTTGGCTCACAGTTTGTAGAAGTCTCAGTCTATAGTTAGCTGGTTCTAAGGCAGGGTGGCATGACAGAG